AAGAGGGGACCTCAGGCCGTGTCTGAAAAGTAGAATGGAGTCAATCGGACGGGTAACCATGGAGCTACAGGCTAAGCGAGATTGACCACCTCGGACATGGACAGAAAGTGTTGGGACAAAATCACCAACAGTCCAATGAGTTATCGGGACGTGCCCGTATGGATGAGGCACGGAGCCCAGTCTTACGCTCACATAGTATAGAGCCAACCGGAGGCCTAGCTATGGTTGAGGGACTTTCCCATGACGTTGACTAGTCCGATCATGGCGGAAAGTCCTCAATGTTAATGCAGTCAAGTTGCGAAGTCAACGGTGCATTGATAAGTCTCTCGACGGAGCTGATCACTCCAGTCAGAGTTAGGAGGACAGCGAGTTGGCTCGAAGCGAGACCACTCGCTTGTACTTAAACCTCCGAGACAAAGGGATCATGCGTTTTCACTGGAGAGGTTTCAAACGCCCTCACGGAAACACGACAACGCATGGAAACCGTAGTCCGAGCAAAGACGCAAAGTTTATCAGGGTCAAGCGGATGCCCATTAGAATGGTAAGGGTAGGAAATAGGAAAGGGTACATTGTTTGGTATAAGATAGATGTAGCCCGCGACCACCCAGACGCGGAATATAAATATTGAGGTGCCTCCTTAACTTTCAGAAATCATCAGCGAACGGAGAAGAGACCTTATCAATATATTCGTTATACTTTGATACATACTTTTGTTACGAGCTTTCTTGACCACTCTCCGAGAAACCTTATTGGCCCCAGTTACAATTCGTAAGACTTAGAATTGGCTGCCGCCTAACACTTCTATATTAAAAATCTTAATAACATTTAAAACTACTTATAATTTTTATTTAAAAAGATATTATAAAAACTTAAACTCCTTAGTACAGTAGCGTACTTAATATAGTTCTATAAGATTATAACAACTGACTATATAGTATGACTTAAAATACAATAAACACTGGTAGACAGAAGAACTATTACTTTTTACAATATAAGTAGTAGTTAAGTCTACTAAGATATAATACTACTACTACTACATATGGGTATTGATATGTGAAAACTGGGCAGACACCTTTAATCTGGTTTTGAGTTATAATACTTTGAAGTTTGCATAACAACTTGAATGACTGGTATAACAGTTTTGGATCTGATGAATTATAAAGCTTATAAAGAGTTCAATTTAACTAGCAAATATTTTTTAAGCTCTTCAGATAATGCTCTTTATGTTTAAGAAGTATGATATATATTAAAGTAAATTTGTTGTAGTTGTAGATTTGCCCAGTTTTTGCATCAGCATCCATATCTAGTTAGTCATACAGATATAGCTATAAAATATAGAGTATTCTATTTTTTAAAAAAGAAAAAAACATATTAGTTAAGACAAGAAGTGTCTTTTTATGTTATAGGAAAGGTGGTAAGGTTACTACTATATCGTAATAAAAGTTATTTTGTTTTGTAGCAGGAAAAGTAATATTTAATTATTGTTTTTTATATATATAATATTATCATACTTTATAGTTTATACCTGATAGTAGGAAGCAGAAGTTCAGAAGAGTAGGGGATATTCCTAGTAGTACAAAATATTAGATATTCCTATTTTTATATCAAAATCATAATTATTTCAATTTTTGTCGAAATTCTTTAATGGGAACCGAATAAAATTTGCATACAAAATAATCCACTTCCGAGTTAGACACTCTGCCCGGTCCGCTGCATTATTTTCGGTTTCTATTCATTAATTTGTAGAAAATCATCTACTCTATTATTAGGCAGAGCTATAATTCTCGCTATCTCCTGGACTGCTGAGACTGTGGAAAATTTTGTGCCACCTGTTAGTCCCTAGGACATCGATGACTAACAGAGCAACTCAGTACCGTATTCTTGAGTGGTGGTGGGTGTAGGTACGATCATGCAACTAATATTAGTTACAGTCTGAAGTACTCGTATGCACATCTGCGAATTTATAGTAATTAACAAAATTTGCTTATTAACCTGTGTCTTAGACACTAACAGGGGCGGCACAAAATTTTCCACAGTCTCAGCAGCCTAGGAGATAGCAGTCATTGAAAAAAAAAAAAAAAATCTTGTAAGGCCTAATGTTGAGCAATATTTTCTAGTCAAAGCATCATACCCTGCTGAAACCCTCATCACACCCGAGAAATGACCACTAGGATCAGAAAGGAAAACACAACGTGTCTTGGCATTTTGAGCCTCTCAACCTCACCCGCGATTGAACTTTTGACCCCTCATATTCCGCCCTACTGAATTCAGCAAAGCGTCCGGTGGGATGCGAGTGAGTTGCAACCTCCAAGCTGCCGGGTAGGCCTTTCATCCTCTCCCCGCGATTCCATCGGCTCAACAGAAAAACTCATCCCTTTCCTATCTTACTACCGAAACCTTACCCGATATAATTCACATCGGTAAAAAAAATTTCTCACTCCATCACCACCTGTTCCTTTCCTCAGTTTTTCCACCTCTCTTCATTCAGCTCATAAACCCCGCCACCCCAGATTGGCAAACATGGCGAACGCTTCAACCCCATTCGCCCTCCAGTCTTTGCTGGAGAAGATGTCTTCTCCAGATTCCGATTACCGTTTCATGTCCCTGAATGACTTGCTTTCGATTCTTACTAGCCCGAATGCTAGTTTGACACAGGCTGATAGCAACCTTACAAGTAGAGTCATTGATGGAGTTGTTAAGGCACTTGACGATGCAAACGGTGAAGTACAGAATCTAGCAGTCAAATGGTTTGTCAACCACCAGAGCTATCCCCCGAGCTCTAACAACACATTTAAGATTAATCTCGCACCTATTCTGCGCGATGATGTACTATGTACCCAAAACAATGCAGGTCAATAAGGGTCATGCTAAACTGGGTTTTCCTCCTTAGTCTTGGACCATTGGTCTTGAAAGTTCGAGATAGCCAAATCGCTCCCCTCATCGACCGTCTAACGACTCTCTCTATGACCTCTACGGACCCTTCAATCCCTTCCACCGCTCTCAGAACTATAATTTCAAGTCTTCCACGTCCTGTCGCTGTTTCTTCCGTCACACCGGGTTCTCCGGTATTGGTTCAGAAACCTGATGCCATTCACCAAACCATTGCCGCCGCTGTGCAAGCTATCCAGAACACACTTTATCCCAAATTTCTGGTTCTACTAAGGCCCAACACGGAGTCCGCTAAGGGCGGCGGTGCTAGCCTCGACAGTATCGATCTATTGATTGAGACACTAAAGTGCTTTGGCCCCGTTCTCGGCGGAAAAGAGGTCGAACAGCTTCAGGTTGCCGTCATGGAGTTATTGGAAAGTGATAGAACAAGTCAAGTTGTTAAGAAGCGAGCTGTGACTTCTTTGAGTTTACTTTGCGTCTACTCTCCGGATGAGCTACTGTCCAGTTTTATTAATCATTTAATCGAGTCCTTTCGAGCCCAAGGCAAACATGTTAACCCAACACGCCTTCGTTTGCTCGTTTCGGTAACAGGGGCCTTGGCGAGGGACATTCCTGATAGATTTGGCCCATACCTTAAGACGTTATGCCCATTTATTCTCTCTGTGGTCGATGGGAAGGATATCCAAGACCGAGAGCTGGGCGATGAACCGGAGATGGAAATGGATGAGGTTCGTGAAGCAGCGCTTGTCAGTTTGGAAAGCTTTATGAGCTTCTGCACAAGCAACATGACAAGATTTACGGAAGATGTTTTGAATGCCGGGATGATCTACCTGAAATATGATCCCAACTATGCCGACCCCGCTGATGAGGAAGATGACGAGGAGATGGGCGGAACACAAGACGATGGCGATGAAGACGATGGCTTTGGAGGCAGTGATGATGAAGACGCATTTGAAGAGGATGGTAACTTCTCGGATGAAGATGATATCAGCTGGAAGGTTAGACGATGTGCGGCAAAGCTACTTTCAACGGTTTTATCGACTAGAGCCACAGACTTGATTCTTGGAGAACAGGAAGGAGGTGGGAAAGCGTACAAACAAGTTGCTCCATTGCTTGTTGAGCGCTTCCATGAACGTGAGGAGAATGTGAGGTTGGAAGTCCTCGCAACTGCTACGGTATTGGTGAGGAAGACAGGAGAGGTTGCACAAGGAACATTTACACCATCTTCTCCCTCCAGGGACCGGCGAGGAAGCACGGACATAGTCATGGGGCCCCCACCTAAGAGGAGGCGTGGTTCAGATGCCTCAATGCTTGATTCTGCGGCTTATGATGTTCCCCCGCAGAGCTCCGATGAGAATGGCGTAAAAAATAGCCTGCAGGCTTTGATGCCAAGGCTCAGCAAATCTCTTAGCAAACTCTTAAAAACTAAGAGCACAACCTTACCCACAAAGCAAGCTAGTGTCACCCTCTTGTCTGCGATTGTATCGGTATTGGAAGGTGGTCTGGATGGTGTGCTCGGACTTTTTATTGAGCCACTGGTTGATGCCACCCGGGGCGGCAGTGCTGTTTCTGGCAGCAACGTCATCGCTGCCACGGCCGCTGGAGGAAGCGCAGCTACTGCCACAGGCTCTTCACTACGCATTGAGGTTTTGAGGTTGGTGGGTAAAATCTGTGAGAATCACTCGGCACAAGTTGTTGGGGAACATTTTGACGCCCTCATACCAGCCATGATAACTGCAGTTGAGGAGCCAGCCTATAAAATTTCCTCTGAGGCTCTTAACACAGTGGTTTCAATCGTTAGACTCCTCACCGCAGAAGGCTCTTTAGGATATGGTGAATACCTGAAGGGGTTGTACGATGTTATCGTCGCAAAGGTCGGGAATGGAGATGCCGACCTCGAAGTAAGGGAGAGGGCAATTGTTGCATTAGGAGTTCTTCTTTCCAGGACATCCGGACAGCCAGCTCTTATTGGGCCTGATCGGAGGGCTGCGGCCTTGGGGATGCTAGTGGACCGTGCGAAGAACGAGACTACCCGCATCACCGCTGTCAGAGCTATTGAGGTTATAGCGAGAAACGCCAAGACCACGAGTGATATAACACCTGACTGGGTTAAAGTTGTTGTAGTGGAGTGCGGCGTTCAGCTCCGAAAAGCCAACAGGACCCTCCGTGGCGCTAGTTTGGATGCATTGAGGAGCGTTTCCGCTAATGAGAACTGTCGGGAGGCAATGGATCCACAGAGCAAACGGGATCTGGTAGAGGTTCTCACTACGCTATTGCCTGCCGGAGATATGCATCTCCTCGCTCCAACATTGGCCATCATCAGGTGGATGATCATCGGTGGTGATGGGGTTTATGTCACGGCCGGTATTAACGAAGGTGTTTGTGGGCTCGTACGAAACAATCTTGGGTCCGGCCTCGTGGTGGAGAACCTACTTGGGTTGGTAAAAGCCATCGGAGAAAACGACCCCGAGGGCAAGAAGACCGTGATGAATGGCCTCTTACAGGACGTTGGAGTGAATGGGGAGACGAGCATTGTGGCTAAAGTTGTTGCACAATTGCTTGTTAGCGGTGGGGGGAAACAAGGTGGATTCACGATAGGGGTCGAGGAGTTCGTTGGTGAAGTGGTTAAGGCCACGGATGACAAGAGGAAATGTTTGGCACTAATGGTGCTTGGAGAAATTGGTCTCAGAATGTGAGTTACCCGCAACGAGTTTAGGATCACTCAATCCCTAACAATGCCATAGGGGCCCTTCGTTCTCTGTTGGGCCGGAGACCTTTCTTGAGCAATTCCATGCAAAAAGTGATGATGTTCCGATCGCGGCCGCCGTAGCCTTAGGTCTTGCTAGTGCCGGGAACGTTCAAGGTTATTTACCTGTGATTATGCAGAGGCTTGGAGGTGGTGACAAGGACCAATATCTGCTACTTCACTCACTAAAAGAAATTATCCAACATTCTGATGACACCACCGCAAATATCAAACCGTATGCGGATCAAATATGGAAAGCTCTCTTCTCCATGGCAAAGAATGACGACAGCAAAGCAGTAGGAGCGGAGTGCGTTGGTCGCCTCACTATCATTGACCCCTATAGCTATCTACCGGAGTTGCAGAAACACCTCCAATCTGAGAGCAGCGCGGTACGTGGAATGGTTATTTCAGCCCTCCGATATACTTTTACCGACACGGAGGCCTCATACGATGATCTCCTTAGACCAATTGTTGTGGACTTCCTCACAGTCATGGTTGACGATAAGGAACTTGAAAACCGCAGACTTGCCCTAACGGCCTTAAACTCCGCAGCTCATAACAAGCCCCACTTGATAGGCCAGCATCTGCAGAGTCTATTGCCACTAGTGTACAGAGAAACTGTTGTTCGCCCAGAGCTAGTTAGAGAAGTTCAAATGGGACCTTTCAAGCACAAAGTTGACGACGGTCTTGAAGTCAGAAAGGTAATTCACCTCCACTTTCTCCCGACAGTTACATCACTAACATCAACAGAGCGCCTACGAAACACTCTACGCCCTCCTAGAAACTTCCTTTTCAGGGATAGACATCCAGACATACTTCGACCGTGTCATTGCCGGCCTCCAAGACGAACACGACATCCGCGTTCTCTGCAACCTGATGTTAACCAAACTTATTCTCCTCGCCAAGGGTGAAACCCTTCGGCGGCTTGACTCAATCGCCGAGTGCTTCAAAACAACCCTAAACCAAAAACCTAAGGAGAATGCAGTTAAGCAAGAACTCGAAAAGCACGCTGAGAGCATCCGAAGTACCATGCGCGCAACCGTAGCGCTTAATCGTACCGCCATTGGCGCAGGGGTTAGCGGGAAGGCCGGCTGGAACGGGTACTGGGAGTGGGCAAAGGCGGGTTTCCTTAACGAATTGCAGATACTTGAGGGCGAGGAACGGGGTGAGTAAGTTTTTATCGTTATCAAGCCGGGAAAAAACCTTGTTGAAAGAAAGGGGAGAGGTAAAAATGGAAAAGTACCATCACACGACGTCACTCGTTTAGCCCTGTTTGAGTCTTTGCGGAATTCCTTTTTTTCCCCTCATCTTATTTTGCCCATTTTTTTATACGATGGCGAAAAAATAAGGTTATAAAATACATACCCCCCCCTTTTTTTGGTAACGCACATGGGGATCAGTCGTCGTGTGAAAGTAGCCGCAATAGCTAGACTATCTGGCCCACAACCCTAAGCACTACGGCAGCCTAACTCCCTGAGCTCACTGTATCACACTGAAGCCTCCCTTTCCATCCAACCGGAGCTCCCATGCGACAGGTTAAGCCAACTCCCCTATCATACCACCTCGTTCTACAATACCATAAATCATCAATCTTATCTCACGCCGCATTACAAAAACGATATTCCAAGTCTCCCAATGCCCAAAGCAAGACACCATACGAAAAACTCCACCGCACGGTACTCCGTTGGTTTTTCGCAGTTTTTTTCTATCCAACTATCCAACCACCGGAGGTAGGGATGTGGGTTGTATAATATCCCTTTTATGCTGCTGCTTGGCGCGTGGGTGCGTTGGGGGGAGAAAAACGGAATTCCATATTTAGTATAGTGGTTTTTGTTTTGTTTTGTCCTGTTTTGTTGATTGGTAGCACTGGTATTCACTCGCGCTCCCAGCAGCGGTGCGGAAGAGGGGGGGGTTATTATGTGTTTTAATTAGCTAAAGCTTCTTTGTAAAGGTGAGAGATACGACGTTGCTGGTTTATTTTAAAGTGCTAGATACGTGTCTATGATACAGAGTAGCTTACAGCAGAGCACAGCTATCTAGGAGTTCCTTCTATACAATAGAATATATTGCTATTACTCCATCCCAACCAATTTCCTTTTTCGTGATTTTCCTCACCAACGTATCGATCAAATCCTCTCCTCAGCCTTCCAAACCCCAACCTTCTCGCTGAGCATTGAAATCTGCTCGATATGCCCCTTCTTGACCCTCCTCTTCTCGGTCTTGCCTGTCTCCGGATCCACGCCGTCGACCCAGCAAGGCGTCCGGTCGACAACCCATGCCCATTTAGTCCCAAAGCCAAAGATTTCCAGCAGAGATTCCCCTTCCTGAGCGACCTGGTTTTCCGAATTCTCCCGACGTGCAAACAATTCCTCGTACTCCTCCGCGTGGGATGATAGCTCTGTCGTCAAGAGCTGGAAGACGCGAATGCGTGTTAAAAATAGGATTAGTATCTCTATAAATTTCTGTTTTCAATTCCAAAGGGGAGTGGCGACGCAGGCGGCCGGGTATTGATCTGTCAGTTTGCCCATTCGTGTTATATGTGCGGGGAGGTTTGCGGTTTACGAACCCATTCGGACTTTGGTATCCGCAAGGACACCTCCTCAAGGCCTTTGCAAGAGCGAACCAATTTTGAGGCGCAGCGTCTCTCGACTGAGTGGCTAGTGCTTAGACGGAGGTTGCGGATTGTAGAGCAGTGGGAGTTTATAATCGCGTCCAGGAAAGGCTCGACAGTGCCCTCTTCTGTCACGTTGGTTGATGGAAGGATGTATAGCTCTTCCAGGCCAGCAAAGGAGGAGAGGAAATTTGCCCAGTGTTCCCCCACTTCGTTTATCCGAAGGCTCTTCAGCTTCAGGTGCCTCGCCGCGGGCGCAGGACTTCGCCTGGTGATGCCTCCACTTCCGGATGACAAAACACTTGCAGGCGACCCAGAGTTGGTCACTTTCTTCTCTTCAGCACTCAGGATCTCGCCCCATGATGAGCTCTCCCCAACACTACAGTCAAGAAGCGAAAGTTTTTGAAGCTCCAGGAAATCCAAACACTGCTGTATCGGTATATCAAGCACCACGTTGCTTATATGAAGTTCCTTTAGAGACCGAGGACCTCGGATGGGCCCATTTTCTGGGAAGATGGCACTTAACCTAGTCGAAATCCTCCAGGACACTTTAAAAACTTGGAGTGCCGGCATTGCAGACATGCTCCAATTGTACGTCGTTCGGGAACCGAGACCCGTTAGGTGTATGCTCTTCAGATTTCTAAAGACTATCGGCGGTGCAAACGAAGGTGGAGGGGGGGGATGAAGTGAGAGCGGATGTATTATTCTTAAGCTCCCCAATTTTGGGTGTCTAGACAGCGCTTCATAAAGGATAGGATGCATCATCGATTCCGAATTCCACCTGCCGTTGATCCCCCATCACCCATATTAGTCTGAGCCCTGCACGAGCAGGTTAATACTGTTACGGAACGGCGGTACCTACAAGAACTCTTCTAGCATACTCATTCCGGTAATTATCCCCACCAACGCGACAGCCCACACTCCATGTTCTTCACCTCGCCGGTCCCGGCCTGACGGCTTCTCATTGACGACCTCCAAACGCCGAACACAGGCCGCGATACCGGGTTTGAGTAATGCGCCCATCTGTGCCAAGGTGATGTAAGGTCTCCTCTCCTCTTGTCTACAAACGAGGACCACATTCCTATAAAGCAAAGGGACAGTTAGGAAGTGGTGAATTCGGCTGCTTCGACTGACACGGGCAAGGTCTGCTGGTGATTCGATCTGTTCACCCCTCTCAAAGTAAGCCTCGTTCCCAGACCCCAAACCATTAATCGAATTTCTACCCGGGAGATGATGCTGGAAACGATGTCCAGTGGTAGTTGAGGCCTTCCAGAGCTTCGGCCCGTCTCAGGATTCATGAGAAAGTCAAACATATTTTCCCTCTCGCCTTTTCGTTCGTGGTTCGTTCTGTAAGCAGTAAATAACGTAGCTCGTCAGTGAAATACCGGTAGATTGACAACGGATATTTATCCCTCCGATTTTGTGTAACGATAAGAGAAGGCTATCCCTTAGAGTTATTTAAGCTTCTTTCGTCCTCCTTTTTGGAGCGCGAGCGATAACGATCTAGACCGCTATCCTAGGGCCCTTCCCATCTACCGTACTCTGGAAACTTGGTTGTATCGTAATTTATCCTCTTCCTGTGACCACAAGAACATTGAGAAAGCTATCCAGGCAGTCATGATTTCGGTTATCCTGAGAGATTAGATCACGATCAACCGCGCTCGGATGATGAAAAGCTCACCTTGAAAGTCATAAAATAGCGACTAGTCTTGTGAGCAGAAGGTAAGGAACCTCAGTATGAGGCCCCTCTGCCCCTGAATGCTGATGTCCCAGAGCTCGGTATTATTTCCAACTTCTGTTTGTTGTCATTGGTTTTGGGAGCGCGCGGCACGGGTGGTCACTCGCCTACAGGATTCGATACTTGTAAACAACGTTAACTACCAGTATCATCAATGAGTTATTACGCGTTCTCTCGACAAGCTACCGTGTAACCTGGGGAAGACTAGAATATACTACCCCGGGTTAGAATGCGTGGCTCGGGAAGGAATCCCTTCAATATCTAAATAAGCTTCTAGTCAATCGCCACATGTTCCGCAGAATTCCATCCCCTTGGGCAGCTCGATTTCCTCTAAAAAGGCTGGTAACCTTCCGCCATACCTTGTTTACCCTTGCTAGTGCATTCTGGTTTTCCCTGGGCCGCGGTAGCTTCAGAATCTAAGAACCAGAATGGGGCTGTCCTGAAAACTTCGTCGGCCTCAAAATGTTGACATACTTGGAGCGCGTTTCAGTAAGAAAAGGAGGTAATACTGCTTACAACACTTTGATTTCGGCAGAATCGGGATTGAAACCCAAAGGACTGGCCAAATCCCTTGGCTCGGAATCAGGTTCGGTCCGGCAGTGATCCCAGAGGATATTAAAACTAGTTAATGACGACAATGATTCGGATCGCGCTGGAAGTAAGGTGCAGTACATGGGGAACCACCTGTCGGGAATACAACCTCAATTCAAAAATGAAAATCCCCGGGGACTAGACCTCCGCCAGCCAGGAAATCAACCGCAGAGTCGGTCCCGAATGAAGAGGGTATACTCTGGACGATCAGTTCTGTAATATTCTATTGACTCACATTTGCCTGTAGGGGAGTCATACGGTGGTGTACTCGAGTAGTCGGCTCAGGTCACCTCTGTTTCTGGAACCTTTCCCGCCCGCTAAGTAGGGCTAGAGGAAAAGTGCCAAAAATGGTACTGGTACTGCACATCCCAAACGCCGACCAAATTCCCCCACTCGGATCGGAGGAATCGAGTCTGTATCCTGATCAAGCACCGGTAATGCTACAGCGGCGAATCTTATAGGTCTACCAACTCCCAACAACCACGGAATTCCGAAATGTGGCTGTTCGTGCAGCATTGAAGTTGAAATTTCACCCATGGTGCACAATCGGGGAAACTGAGGAAAAACCAATAGAGCTCACCCCCGCTCACACTTCCTATCATACCCAGCTCTGCAACCAATGACCTCGTGGGCCAACCAGACAAGGGTCCCTAGCTCGGTAAGCCAGGTATTGCCACATATCGGTGCCGTACGTCTACCGGTACTATTTGTACGAAGGGATTCGCTACATACCGGTACCGGTACATGCTCCAAATCAAACATGACCTCATGGCTGTTTAGGATAGGAGATACCGGTAGTGTGCAATTTCGCCACTGACAGGCCTCCGGGTGGTCAGGTTTCGTGGTGTGTTAGGGGCCACACCGGACCCAAACCTTGCGCTTGAGCCCCTTGTCTCAATTGGGGACCCGGCGTTTCTGACATTTGAGAGATATCATACGAGTAGACGCGGAGCTTTCCGCAGATTCGATGTGTGATTCAACCCGCCACCCCTAATGTTTTCGACGGATCCAAACCTCATGTACTCGAGTACTGTACTCGTACCAAGGAACCGGAACAATCTCAAGAAAGCCACAATGTTTTCTAATCCCGTGAGTGGTGTCCTATTAGTGGAGGCGACCCCCAGTACCCAGATAGTGAACTGTCCTGAATAAGGATATCTGACCCCTCTTCCACACCATAATATAATCCACTTCTTCCAATAGAATAGGGAGAGTAGACATTAAGCTTAATGAGCCCGGAAATGGTACCACGGTCTCACCCCCTCCAAGGTATAACGGGTTCTGGAGACGGCTGAGGACTCAGGCCTCGCTGTCAATGACTTATCTGCCTCGAGATTCGAACACTGTAAAACGATTCGTTCGGGTTGGGCGCCTTTCTTCCCGCCCTGTTTGGGGCTATAACATCCGGGCGCTGCGCACGATCGATGTACTCGAGTACTTGTACTACTGTACAAGCACCCCTTGCTTGGGTACCGTAAAACATTTTAAAATACGCTACCGATATCAGGTTATCAGCGGAAACCGGTCCACGGCATGTTTGATATGACAGGTTAACAGAACGCCGAGTATTTGTACCTGTTAAAACTTAATGATCCAAAAAGTGCGGTGGACTGGTCTTGTACCATGTTAGGAAAACTCTGATCCTTCTGGGGGCTTTGCCTCTGCATTCGGAGATTAGGGGGCTGGTGAAGATGTGAATTTCGAGAGTTTCCCTAACCCACTTG